ATAATTGTTAATGATTTTAAAGTTTCAGGGGATTTTTAAGGATAATTTTAATTGATCGGCCTATTTAAATATTTCTTTTTAATTCGGCTTTTAATTATTGTATTTGTATTGTAGTTTTATGAGGCTGTTAGCCGCCCTGAGTCCCATGAGGAGAAGGGCGGGGTATAAATTAAATTATAAATAAATAAATAAAAATAAACTGTAGTTTCTCATAATTCGTAGATGTCACATTTAGGGAGACAGTTAAAATTGCAGGATAGTCCAAGTGTTTCAGGCCAGATATTAATCATCATATAAGTTAGCTCACAATTCTGGACTGCCTTGAACCTGATCCCTCTCATCTTTATTTACTTCCTTATGTTTTCACTGAGGTTCCTTCTCAAACATTGCATACAAAACTGTAAAGTCCTTGATGCTCTCTGAGCTTGATCATTTCTTGTAGACATTTCATTACCCAGCTATATATTATCATGACTGCTACTAGTTGGGTAATGAAAGGTCTGAAAGAAAACAGCCAAGTTCAGAAAGCATTGAGGAATCACAGAATGATGATGTAATTGGCTTTGCATTTTGCCAATTCTGTATTTAAGCAAAGGCAAAACTGAAACAGATCAAATATGGAATCTAATCCATGAAGAACTGCCATCTATTCAGTGCCCTATATATGTCTGTCTGTCTGTCTCTGTCTATCTGTCTGTCTGTCTGTCTGTCTCTGTCTATCTGTCTATCTGTCTATCTGTCTATCTATCTATCTATCTATCTATCTATCTATCTATCTATCTATCTATCTATCTATTTCTATGTCAGTCTGTCTATCTATCATCTATCTTAAAGAATAACTCTTTTTAAGCATGCTGTCATGGTTCTGGCTAATGAAACAATTCAAAGAACTTCCAGGCATTGATTTTCCTAAAGTCTTTATTTATGTTACAAAATGTCAGCACAGCATAACGAAGGATGCCAAGATCTGAATTTCCCTTCCCTTTGCGCACAACATTCCAGGCATTTCCCCTCCCCTATTTTGGGGTCATGACTCACATCTTCCAATTAACTTGGAGGACAAAGATTCACTTCCTTTCTGTTTCCCGGGCTTTTCCCTCCTCCCTCCTCTGCTCTGCATTAACTCTCAAAATACCAGATAGTTTTGCATATTTTGTCAAAGCAAGAATATACAGTATTTGCAGCATTGACACATGCTTTGGGTCATTTACAAATGGAAATCCATACAGTATGTATCTCAGTCTTTCTCAATCTTTGGAATGGCCAATTCATTTTCTTTGGGAACATGGATCTAGTTCCCGAATTGGGAGGTCAGTTGAAAAAACATCTGCCTTTGAAAGAGACATCTCCCTCTTAGATGTCAAGTGGAGATGGCTTGACTCCTTTCAGTCAATGATTAAAGGCTCATCCCTTGATTAAGCTAATATTCAGCCCCCTCCCTCACCGGTTCAAATTATTTTCATTCAGAGAAAGGAGAGAAAACGGCAAGGCCTGCTGGACAGAGCAATCTTCTGAAGCTCACAATGAAGTTCAGAGGCATGCATTAGTTTACGCCTACTTATGTAGTCATGCAATTGTTAAGAAAGAGTAACCACAACAACCTAGATGGTAAAATAATGCTTTATTTCATGGATGAACAAACACTATTGTGCCACACCAGGCTTCTTCTTTACAAAATTTTATAAACAGAGCAAGGGATCGCCTCCTCTGGAGCAAAATCAGCTCAGGCATTCTGGCCTATAAGGTTATCGAAACCTGGACCCGTACCATTCACATGGTCTATTTGGCATTTGGCTGAAGGAATGGATTATTCTGCAATAGCTTTCTATATGACTCTTGATGCAGAGTAAACTATGAAAGGGGGAAAAAAAATCAGTGAGATTCCTGATCCCCCCCCCTTGCCTTGGGGTTTGGTTTACTGGTGTATCTCCCACGAGGATCTAATTGCCACCAACAGCTAACAATCTCAACCTAAAATAAAGCAGAGACAGGAAAAAAAAAGTCTGGATGAAGTATATCACCAATTCTCCTGCGGTCTTGGATTTGTGTTCTCTTAACAATACATGTAAAAATGCAGAGACCTGCACTGACATTCAAGCTGTCAAACACAGTAAAAAAAGGAGCCACGGAGTTAATTTAGTCTGAATGAACACCTCTAAGGGGCCTTAATAAGCAAATAAGGGTTCTCACATGCACGTAGAACACAAGACGTAAGAAGAGTAAGAATAATCTAAGAGGCCGGAGCAGAAGGGAACTTGACAAATCTTCGACTTACATTCCTTTTATACACTACAAAATGAAGTACACAATATTCATATATTAGTTGTACATTGGGTCAGAATAATTTACAGGAATAGTAGCAAAGCAAAAGAAAAGAGAAGGAGGAGGAGGAAAAGAGGAATTCAAGGAATAAAAATATAGATTGGGGGTAGTTTTGAACAATTTTAATCTTGTCTCCTCTGAACTCTAAGAAAGAAATGACAGATCTGTCTTCAAAATTCCAGGGGAAAAAATCAAAGGAAAAAAAAAAGGCAAACTTGCAATGTCCCAACCCAGATTTTTATCATTACATTAACACAATGTATAGATAAGGCAGTGTGTTAGGACTAATTAAAAGCTGTGCAATATTATGAAGGTAACAGTATAAATGACAGAAGCTATAGCTGTGGTAAAAGCAAGAGAAGCAATTCAAGAGAATATTCCCATTTCCAGGAAAGCTGCTCACTTGCTATACAAGACACTCCAAGCACGATTAAGACATGATCTTTTGAGAGTAATTTCTCACATTTTCCCAATCCTGCCAATCCGCAACAGTAAGGACTAGCAACTTGGGGATATTGTAAGATGACATCGTCATGCAGCTATTCCTGTCCCTCTAAAAAAGGACTTTTTAAAAAAAAACATGACAAATATTGGTTAATACTGGACAATTCAAATCCAAAAAGCTAAAGCATTAAAGGAACAGCCAGGGAGAGTTCCAGAATATCTAAACAATTCTTAAGCCAGAATTCCTGTGGCTCTCTCTAAGCTTTAAAGGGGTTTTCTTAAAGCCAGAGCACATTGCAGCAACAAAGGTTTAGTAGTCCAAGGCTGAAGTAAAAAGGGGGGGGGGGACAGCTAAAAACTATATACAGAAATGCCTGTACAGTCAAGCTACAGCAGTGCTTTATACAAAAGAAAACGCCTGTATAACTGAGCAGTTCTGCAGCAAAGCCTAATTTCTTGGAAATGCAGAAGACAACAGGTAAACAACACACAATTTGGTACCCTCGAAAAATAATTGTGCTATAATCTTTATTCCGTGGATGGTTCACTTTATAGGAAACAATGAGATGCTAAATAAGGGACCCCTAACATAGACAGAGGGTGGGTTTTACTCATATCTTGGACTTGCACTTGAGGGTTGCTGTGGGCATCTTAGCAAATTTGCCTTCAGGGTTCGGTTTCCCGGGTCGAGGATCTTTAATCAGAAATCACGCGGCGGCCATTTTTGTTCATAGGGATTGGTCCTCAACAGCAGTGTCTGCTGAGTTCCTCATGCTTAAATATTCTTCCGTTCGAGAAGGCAGGAGCTCCAATACCAGCGCCAGAACTGCTTTTCCATTTCACTTTTCTTAAATACATGCTCACATAACACTCCTTTCGTCAGGGAAGGGAAATCGGGAGGGTTTAGTTGCATATCTTTTTGAAAAGTCGCCTTGTGCTTCTTAGCACAAACCCAGAAAGTTAATCTTCATCCTCGTCTTCTTTTGTGGAAACCACTGGGACTTTGTCCGGGACGTTGAAACATTCCGCAAAGAAATTGACTATGGACTTGTACAAGTGCTGCTCCAGGGTTGGGCTGTTGAAGTAGTGACCTTCGTCAGGGTAGATCTGCCAAGGAAAGAGTCGTGGTTGAGACGGGTCTCACATCTTTGGGGGGGGGGTCTTCTCCAAAAAACCAAAATGGCTCCCCTTGTTTACATGTCAAATGCATAATAAAAAGGGGGTGGGAGTTCAATCAAACAGTGGAGGCCCTCAACTTGATTTTTTGGATTTTCATCCAAAAGTCCCTGTTCAAAGTCTAAGGATGATCAATTACTCACAATTATGAGCTGGGATGGGATATGTAGTGCAAGGAAGGTTTATATACAAGTAGTCCTCAAAATTTAACATGCTAAATCTTTTTATGTTGTTGTCTACTAATGTGATAAAAGCAAATAATGAAATTCCCAAGATTACAACTTGTAACAGTAGTTTGGGAGAATTCTCTAAAACAATTAGAGAAAACCAAGACCCATGGGAGAAGATGTGAAAAATACCAAGATGGCAGCTGCATAGTACCAAACCTCATTTTCACTTGTTTGACATACCCAACTGCACGGAGACTCCTATTGGCCATACTCAGTTCTTAAGCAAAATATTTTTTTAAAAAAAATAATTTGTATCCTTTATTATATGCTTTTATTACTTTTACACATAACTCAAGATGGTGAACATATCAAACAAACCTTTCTTCTATTTTTCTCACGACAACCCTGTGCGGTGAGTTGGGCTTATAGTGACTGACCCAAGGTCAACCAGCTGGCTCTCATGCCTAAGGCGGGACTAGAATTCAAGTCTCTTGGTGATTGGCTCAAACTTCCCAGCTGGCTTTCATGGCTAGGGTGGGACTAGAACTCACGGTTTCCTGCTTTCTAACCTGTTACCTTAACCACTAGACCAGTGGTGGCGAACCTATGGCACGGATGCCAGAGGCGGCACTCAGAGCCCTCTCTGTGGGCACGCGCACCGTCACCCCAGTCCTAGGCCTTCAGCTGGGTTTTATAAAACCTTTTTGCTTTAGGCCTCCACCGCCGTGTGCAAAAAAAAAAAAAAAAGGTTCAATCAGTCAATTTCAACTTCTCGCGGGAAAAAAAAAGATCTTGCAAAGTTGAAATTGATTGATTGAACTTTTTAGTCCCACCCATAGACACATAGACACATACACACAGAGGGAGGGAGGGAGGGAGGGAGAGAGAGAGAGAGACTTCACTTGTTTAAAAAAGTGATTGTGTGATAGCACAATACCTGCAAACTGTAATTAGCTTTTGTCCTAATTAGATGAGTGATGAACTCTGCAGTGTGCTGGAAGTGAATTTTCTCTGTAAAATTAGATTAAGATAATTAAGTTCCAGGAAGTGAAGAATTGAATTACCAAAAAACCAAAACAAAATATTTATTGTGAGTAAAATAACGCTTTTCTTTTGCTTTATTTGAGTGGGGAGTGTCTATTGGCTTGGTTCACATAATCTTACCATCAGCTGTTGCATGGATGATCAAAAATTGTTGGTCTTTCACTGATGTTACTCGGTGAGAGAGTTTAGTGAGCTGAGAAGAGTGAAAGAAGTAATTTTCAATATTATAGACACTTTAAAAATCACCATAATCAATACAGCATCTAACATTTTATTTATTTATTTACCAAATTTGTATGCTACCCCTCTTACTGTCCTGAGTAAGAATTAGTTTTAACAGAATATTATTGTGCACGTTGTTTTGTGTACTACCCCTTTTTTCTGATCTGTATACACCTTTCTGATATTTATAGAAAGCAGGATATATTTTATGAAACTGTTAAATTGTTATTTCCACGGAAGATATTAGTGGTTGATACAATTCCACAGAGGAATTGTTGAATCTGTCATCTGTACTTTGATATCTGTCTGGTTTGGTACAGTAACTAAACAGGACTGGTACAAACTTCAATGGATATTTAGGACTGCAGAAAAAACAATTACAACCAGCCTGCCTTCTATGGAAGATCTGTATACTACACGAGCCAGAAAGAGGGCTGAGAAAATATCTACAGAAACCTCACTTCCTGGGCATAAATTGTTTCAACTCCTTCCCTCGGGATGGCGTTATAGAACAGTGCATGCCAAAACAACTAGACATAGGGACAGTTTCCCCCCCACCCATGCCATCACTCTGCTAAATGCCTAATTCCCACATATTGTCTTATGCCTAAAGATATTTACCCTTGTAGTATAACTGTAGTATTATTATTATTATCCTTATCTTCTTTACTATCCCCTCTTATTGGTATCATTATTATGATTATTATTACTCTGTTGAGAGCTTCTGCACTGGGAACAAATTCCTTGTGTGTCTAATCACACTTGGCCAACAAAGTATTGTATTGTATTACATTGTATTGTAATGTGCTGTACTGTACTGTACTCTACTCTGTTCTATTCTATTCTCTTCTGTTCTACTCTGTTCTACTTCTGCTCTATCCTATTCTATTCTACTCTGCTGTGTTCTATTCTCTTCCCCCTTTTTATGTTTTTTAGTATCTTTTTTATCTTCTTTTATTCTTGTCTTTAAATGAATAAATAAATTATATCAGGAAAAATATATTTTTTTAAAAAAAAAGAAATAACATTTGGAAACCCCTTCCTTAATATTACGCTTTCATATTATTTTTTGATGTTGTCACGATTTCAATATGTTGTGATTTTGCACTTTAGTATGTTGTATCTTAAACAAAGTGGAAGGCAGTTTAAAGCGTTGCTGGTTAATGACTGCAATAAACTAACTTACTACAGGTTTTGTCATTTGTTTCTTAATATATATTTTCACTCCTCAAATAATCAAAAATATAAAATACAAGATCCTATTTTGTCTGCAGATCAAATATAGATATTTGGAGAATATAGAATATATTTGATCTGAAGAGAAGTTTATAAAATAAATAAATAAAGAATGCATTCTAACTACTGCCATCCCCATTGCCTACTCTTAAATAGCATTGTGCTTAATAAATTAATAATTTATTAAATAACTAAGTAAATAAATCACAGTTAACCTGATTTACCTCATATATCTTATTATTGTCGAACCCTTGTAATCCCAAGTATCTTTCTGAAAAGGCTGAAGCTGAGGGAAGAAAAGAAAAAATATGAAATTTAAATTCAAAGTATTGATACTAAACTTGGATGGCATTTTCTGTTTTTGAATCTTTGTCTTACAGGTTGAAAAATATACATATCTGGACCTATTATAATGCTGAAATATTCCATAGGCAGGATCTTTAAGCAATATTTGTCAATGGGACAGTTTTCTTAAATATGGCGCATGACTAGGGAAGTCTCAGCCCAGGAAGACGATCTGGGCATTTTTTACCTCAATCTTTTTCAAGGTTTTCCATTTTTTATTTAGTTATTTTTATTCTTTATTTGCCACATCATCTCAATATCCTGCAGCTATTCCTGCTGGGTGGAGTAAGAGACTTGGATTCTCAGAATTGTTTGGGAAGAGAGTAAAGAATTCTGGGTGTTAAAGTACAACACATCCAGAAGGTGATGGACCGAGAGAAGATTTTGAACAAAAGAATATGGTTAAACAACAATCAATAAAGTTGTTGCACTGTTTTAGCATTATACATTCCTTCCTTCCTTCCTTTCTTCCTCCTTCCTCCAACTAATTTCCTTCCTTCCTTCCCTCCCTCCCTCTTTCCCATCAAATTCCTTCCTTCCTTCTTTTGCCCTGTCCTTCCTTCCTTCCTTCCTTCGCCCTGTCCTTCCTTTCTTCCTTTTTCTTCCTTCCTTCCTATGCCCTGTCCTTCCTTCCTTCCTGTCCTTCCTTCCTTCCTCTGGCCTGTCCTTCCTTCCTTCCTTCTTTCCTTCCTTCCTTCCTTTCCTTCCTCTGTCCTGTCCTGTCCTTCCTTCCTTCCTTCGCCCTGTCCTTCCTTCCTTCCTTCCTTCCTTCCTTTGTCCTGTCCTTCCTTTCTTCCTTTTCCTTCCTTCCTTCCTTCCTTCCTTCCTTCCTTCCTTCCTTCCTTCCTTCCTTCAAGGCATCTCCTCCAAACCCAACAAAAATGGGGGCTTCTCATCAGCAAAGCTGGAAAACATGAGCAGTCATTTGGTATCAAAGCAGACTGATCATGAAAAAAGCATGAAGATTTGAGCCATATTTGTCTTCCTAGCACAGGATATTATCTTTTGAAATGTAATAGATGGCTCTATCTTGTACTCAGTTCGCCCAGTACTGCAAGCTGTTCAAAGCTAGCCAGATTTTCTAAGGCATGCAGATGAATACTTATGGCTGTCTTCTAAAGTTCCAGTCAATTTCCTTATTTAGCCTCTGCATCACATCCTTTTCTCAGCCAGAAGCCTCCACCTTGGCATTTCACAGGCCTGGCTTGCATATTTTAATATTAACGTTTGCAACCTTAAGGAGTTGAAACTTGCTTTGGATAGCAGAATTCTAAGATTCCAGGCCATGCAATGAAAAGCTTGCTTTTATTCCTGTCAGCCCAACGAGATCCCTGTTTACCATATAATCTGAAGTCTGACAATGGGGAAAGAGCAGCACCACACAAGAAGTTTGGCTCTTTATTTTCTTCTCCAGAAAAGTGGATGTATGAACTCAAGTAGCCACCATAATCCTGAGAGGCAAAGAAAAAAAGGAAAAGAGATGAAAATGTGGGGGGGGGAGGGGGGAGATCAAGCAACTTGACATGTGACTGTAACAAAGCCTGCCCATTAGGGCTGTATGTCGGAACAGCTGGAATTTGAGTCAATCACGCAACTGACCCGCTTTTATGACCTTTTTTTTTTTTGCGGCAAATTAAATGAATGAGGCAGTTGTAAAATTAATGCGACAGCCATTAAGCGAACTCATTGTTCACTATTGACTCGGTTCTGATAAGAATTGGAAATAGCTTCTGGTTTTCAAGGAAAAATGGTCATGTGACTACGGAACGCTGCGAATGACCACAAACGTGCCCGTGATGCTGAGCGCCTGAAATGATGTGACCCTGGGAATGGGCGGGCCATCGGAACTAGTCGTAACTCTCTTTTTCCAAGTAGGTTGCTTAGCGATTGGCTGTAACTCAAGGACCTCCTTTACAGATTTCATCTCCATGTTCTCACCGACTCCTTTTTCATTTTGGGGAGATTCTGCTTCTACCCAATCCCAGGGCACCAGAACTGGGCATTTTGTTTTTCTCTGAGGGCTGACCCCCCCCCCAATAATTTTGGGAAACTCACCTATAGTAGGATTAGTGCTATAAGGGCTTTGTCTCAATGCAGTAGGGCAAAAACTGTATCCTGCCTGCAGCCCACTGGGATCCCTATGGAGCATCTTACAAACATCTGAAGGGGTGTGTCCTCCTTTTTTCTTTTTGGTAAATTTGGCATACATGTCACTGTGTGTGTATGTGGATATTTGTGGGCAACGTTTGAGGGCCACAACATTTTTCAGAAGTGGTTTGCCATTCTAGTTAGGTTTGTGCCTAGGGCAAGGATAGGCAACCTTGGCTCTTCTATGACTCGTGGACTTCAACTCCCAGAATTTCTGAGCCAGCATGGGGCAACTATGGCTTCTTTATGACTCGTGGACTTCAACTCCCAGAATTCCTGAGCCAGCATGGCTCAGCTTGGAAACCTCTCCCTTTCCCCTCAGCATGGCTGGCCCAGGAATTCTGGGAGTTGAAGTCCACGAGTCATAAAACAGCCAAGGTTGCCTACCCCTGGCCTAGGGTGGGACTAGAATTCATAGCCCCCCCCCATCTTCTATTCAACAACATCACAATGGCTCTCACAATAAACCTTAGATATAGTCCTGCAAACTACAGGTCAAAATTCTGGAGAAATAGCAGAAGCTGTTTCAAGGACACTCACCTTCCCAAACACAGCAACTCGAGTCTTATCGATAAATGCCTTTTCCAGCATTGTCCTGGGAAAAAACAAACAAAGAAGATACGTTTGTGTTCAAGCCAACTCCTGTTCACTATAGCAAGGCCCAGCTTTGCCTTGATACATAGAAGTACAAATTGCAAAAGGGAGAAATTACACTTGTACATTTGAGTTCCTTGGTAGCCTTTTGGTTCAATACTCAAACTGCCTCTCTCCAAAATTTAGAAATGATTTAATATTTTGAAATAAATCACTGCAAGTATCACTGGGTATACAACTAGTCACTGATTTCAATTTCAGTGAGTTAAGGTCATTCACCGAACAGCATCTGTTTGATCCTTTTCTTGAGCAGAGCCCAATTTTCTTTTAACGTCATGCAAGAGTTTAGTCCCTTGAAATCCGCTTCCACGCCCATCAAACTTCATCACGATGGCACCGTGGGAGCTGACCATGACACTTTCCCAGTTCACTTCAAACTTTTCTGTTACGCTCTGGGTGCCAGGAGTCCCGTCCCTGAAACAGAAATAGAACAAGAACAACTTAGTGACATTGCTGGGAGGCTGGGAAAATGGACTGGAGGATCAGTTAGGAAAACAAGCAGAAAAAGAAAGGAAAATATGCCAGTGGCAAAAAACAGACTCTGCAGGCAAAGATCCTGATATGTGTGAAAAACATGAGAAAATACCCTGCCGCTTTCAGAGTCAGTTTGTCTAGTAGTTAAGGCACCAGGCTAGAATTGGGAGACTGGGAGTTCCAGTTCCAACCTTAGTAGGAAAGCAGTTGGGTAATCTTGGACCAATCACCAGTAGATGGTGAGTTCTAATCCTGCCTTAGTCATGAAAGCGGGCTGGGTGACTTTGGCTAAACACCAGGAGACTGTGAGTTCTAGTCCCGCCTTAGGCAGCCCAACTCACCTCACATGGTCATCGTAGAGAAAATAGAGCAAGGAAGTGTATTAAGTATATTTGCTGCCTTGGATTATTTATAAAAACTATAAAGGTGAAATATGAATGGATGGATATAGATGGAATTTAAGCTTTCTAACAAATGGGAAGCAGCAAGTGAAACTAGGGAAAATCACATTGAACACCCGTTCAATTAGCACAGGAGCCCCCCAGGGCTGTGTGCTCTCTCTATTACTCTTCTCTCTATATACCAATGACTGCATCTTGAAGGATCCCTGTTTAAATACTGAAGTTTGCAGATGATACAACAGTGATTGGCCTCATTTAAGACAATAATGAGCCTGCATATACACAAGATGTAAAACATCTGGCCCTGTGGTGCAGCTGGAGCAATCTGGAGCTGAACACTCTTAAAACTGTGCCGATGATAGTAGATATTACAGGAAGCTCTTCTATTCTACCACCCCTTACAATATTAGGCAACACGGTATCAACAGTAGATAACTTCAAGTTTCTGGATTCTATTATCTCCAAGGACTTGCAATGGACACCTTTCATTAGAACCATCATTAAAAAGGGACAACAAAGAATGTTCTTCCTGTGTCAACTCAGTCAGCTCAGATTGCCCAAGGAGCTGCTGATACAGTTTTACAGAGGAATTACTCTGTGATTTGTATCTCAGTAACTGTGTGGTTTGGCACAGGACAAGTACAGACTTCAACAGATAGTTAGGACTGCAGAAAAAACAACTGCAACCAGCCAACCTTCTGTTGAGGGCCTATATATTGCGCAAATCAAAAAGAGGGCTGAGAAAATATCTATAGACCCCTCACATCCAAGACATAAACTATTTCAACTTTTCCCCTGGGCCGCCGCTATAAAGCAATGCATGCCAAAACAACGAGACACAAAAATAGTCCCCCCCCCGGTGCCATCACTCTGCTGAACACTTAATTCCCACACAGCAGTGCCTCATCTCTCAACTTTTCTCATCTCCTCATCTTTCCTACTATCTTCTCCTATTGGTTTCTTATGATTTATCAATTGTTGTTTGTAACTTATTAATGATTGTAACTATTATTATGGCCTATGACCTTTTACTTGCTGTTTATATGTACATAGCAAGCTTATGCACCAGAGACAAATTCCTTGTGTATCCTACCACACTTGGCCAATAAAGAATTCTATTAATCTATTATTATTCTATTATATAGATAAATAAATAATCATCCTAAAATAGATTAGATTCCCCATATTGTAATGAATGCCCCTCCAGTTCTCCCCCCCCCTGCTTCTGCGTACTTTGTGGTTTGTGCATTTTGTTAAGGGAGAAAGGTTTACTCCATGCTGGAAGCTCATAATCTTCTCTGTGCAAAGTCACCAGTGCCGTTTCTGTAGAATGCCCATTTATTTATTTATTTATTTTATTTATTAATTTAATTTATACCCCGCCCTTCTCCTCATGGGACTCAGGGCGGCTAACAGCCTCATAAAAACTACAATACAAATACAATAATTAAAAGCCGAATTAAAAAGAAATATTTAAACAGGCCGATCATTAAAATTGTCCTTAAAAATCCCCTAAAAAACCCCGCTAAAATTCC